ACACATACACACACTCTCTCTCTCTCTCTCTCTCACACACACACCCCCCCACACACAAACACGCACACACACACACCCACAATAATAATAACATACCCGGAGTATTGCTCATGGCAATCTGCCGCCGAATGTCTGAATTGAACACCAGCTCCAGGTAGATGCTAGCGATCGTCCTCTGACAGAAGATGGTCCCCTCACTCGCAGCATGGGCCAGGTCATCCAATCTACAGAGTACAATCAAAGAAGATTTATATGGAATTCATTACTTTTCGTCCATCTAAATAAAGAGAGATGCATCAAAACAATCTGTTCATCCAAACTATGGAGAACGAAAATTGTGATCTTTGCATTTTATTTGCTTGCGTGAACAGAGACACCATCATGAAGACATAATCACGGTCAAAATAATATAGTGTTGAGAGAAAGTAAGACAGACTGACACAAAGTAGAAAAAGCAATAAAAACGACACAGGAGCAATAAGAATAATGATAATAAAAGTGGTAATAACACATCACTAAGAAATATGAAAAAAATAACCAGAACAAAGCCCACAGCATCAGGAGTATTAATAATAATAATAATAATAATAATAATAATAGTAATAGCAATAATAATAATTATGATTATAATGATAAATCCAAGTATATATTTCATCTTTCACTGATAATTTATCCCATATTCTATACCTAGTAAAACTAACATATCATCTACGTAATCAATAACAAAACAAAACAATATGTGATGCAGCATGGTGATATCAGGCGCTCGTCAAAATAATGAAATTGTAGAAACTGACATTTTCCCATAGGTATCAATTTTTTATTTTCTGGCTAAAAACCTTTAATGTTCATTTGAGAACACATTTCTGTGGGGATTTTACGGAAAAAAGTTGGTTAAAGACACAAAAAAATGTACATTTTCAGTTTCAACGGACTCTCAAACTATGGAAACAACATAACTTTGGTGGAAATGTTTTTGCTAATTTTACCCTTATAACCAGGTGACCCCCACCTCCTCCAATCGATAACATCTCACCTGGGATTCAAGATAAATCAGGGGGGTTTTTTAGCTAAATGAAAAACAAATGAACAAGTTTTAAGATGATACCAATAACTCTACATTCCCTAAAATGACCAGCGCCTGATTCCACCCCGTTGTGATACATATAGCAGCAGGAAAAACAAGAACATTCCATCCCCCACCCTCACCTCCCCCCAGCCTCACCCCAACCCCACTGAAAATAAAACTACAACAACAACAACAACAACAATCTGTCCATTGTGCAGCGAAGAGCCCCAAGATTTGGAGCACTGGCAGTAGAGATGCCCCCTACGGAGGTCCGGTGGTAGCATATTCTCTTTGGGGAAGATTCAGAGAGGTTGGACTGCCTCTCCGGCTACCCAAGAGAGGTGGTGGCCCTGGCGTAAAGCACTCTGTTTGGGGCTCCAAACAATGCAGAAGGATAGGCTATCTCACACACACATAACAACAACAATACAAAAAAACCCAACAAAAACTGTCCCAAGCGGTCACTACTTCTCGTCTCACCCATGATCCCTGATGACCGCCTGCTTGTTTTCGTCCGAGTCTGACACAATAGAGTAGAGGGCCACGGCTGCTTCCTGCATGACTCGGGGACTTGGGGAGTAGAGTACGGCGGAGAGAGTTTGGACACCCCCACTTTCCACAAACGTGTCCTATAAACAGAATTTTCCCACAAAAGGGGTAATAATAAAAATAGTTTTCACACAAAAGGGTAATAATTTTTAAAAAATCTTCATACAAAATAAGTAATAGTAATAATAAAAATAATTCTAACACAAAAGGGATAATAATACAAATAATTTTTTAATAAAAGGGGTAGTAATAAAAATAATTTTAACACAAAAGGGGTAATAATACAAATAATTTTTAAATAAAAGGGGTAGTAATAAAAATAATTTCTACACAAAAGGAGCTATGATAAAAATAATTTTTACACAAAAGGAGCTATGATAAAAATAATTTTCACACAAAAGGGGTAATAAAAATAAGAAGACAATAAATTAATGTTTAGTGCACAATCAGCAAACACAAATAGCGAACTTACACATAATATAGCAAAACACGCACATAGTTAACAGGTTTTCAGGTCCTAAATTTTTTTCTTAGACATCAATTATTTTGTATTTAAATTGCATACTTACTGAAACTATGAACAAAAAGATTTTCACATCCCGCCGATTTCGTAGTGCGCATGCAAGATTGATTTTGATATTTCCAAAGAAAATGACGACAAAAAGAATAAAACATTTTTCTTATTCAGAACCAGATCTTTAACAGTCATCTGCGATCATAGTCCCCCATTCATTTTTCTCTACTCAAATATGTGTGTGCCCCTAGAGAAAGGTACCAAAAGTCGCCCCAGACCGTTTCGAGCAACAGCCTGATAATGACAAAAATCACTTATTTGAGTAAAATGTGTTTCCATAAAAAAAAAGATCCAACATTTTTTTACAATGTGCTCAAGGGGTTTTCATTGATTTGACTTCTAAATGTTTCATTTAGAATTATTTTGAGAGAAGGGTATAATAAAAACAAATAATGAAAACTGTTTTTAAAAGGAGTTAGTATCTATTGTTAAAGCACGTTTTCTCTTCCCTGCTAAGTTTTACCATTGAATTCCATTCACGATATCGATGTCAACTGAATGCCAAGTTGGAAATGAATTTTCCATGAATAAATACATTTAAAAAATCGTTTATTTTAGTTTGTATGTGTTCTCACGTTTGTTAATCTTAAAAGCTCATTTTCTCAAAATTATATCTTTATTTCATACCCTACCTCGCAAAATGTGCAGTATCTCAAAAGATATCTTAAAAAATTCAACAATCCCTGTGTTTAGCATTGAATTTCCTATAAGGTACAACCTTTAACTCAAAATGGTCAAAATCCGACTTTTGGTACCTTTCTTTAGGCAGACACACATATTCTTTAAAAAAAACACAAAAAAAACATAAAAAAACAACATTTTTCTGGTCTTTTCCCTTTTTCCATCTGTTCAAGTAATCATAGTAAGTTATTCTTGACATACTCCATCCTCTTTTACTCTTTTTCTTCCCCCCAGAAAATATTAAAGATATTATTTTCACAAGTGGATGAAAAATGTACGACACTTCTTTATCAAACTTTAACAAAAGAGCTAGACATTAATTTTTCTAATCAACAGTCTTATCAACAAAACGCAGTATACCCTGATCAATAATATTTTTTTAAAGAGACATTTTGCAGCCAGCAAAAAAAAAGTACCATTAACATTAGGTGCACCCATTAAAGTAATATCTTTGAGGTATGAAATAGTTCTCAAACAGAGAAAGAAACATGGTGAGAATCACACACACAAAAACAGATGTAAACACAGTGGTGTGACCAAATAAAAGGGCATATGCCTTAACATACACATACCCACACACATACACACACACAGACATACACACATACACACACATACTCACACAGACACACACACACACACACAGACACACACCCACCCATCCAGACACACACACATACAGATACACACAGACACACACATACATACATACACACACACAAACAATATATATATATATATATGTATATATATATAACTGTTATTGAGTGCAGAATTTTGTTTAATTTCAAATTTTCTTTTAAACATCCTGCATGTCTTTGGGGGGGGGGGGGGGTTGCATTCTAAATGATTTTAGACATGGCCAGCGTCAGACTTGGGTGTAAATCCTTGAATATTCTACAAATGCCGAGTTAAATGATTGGTATGTATTCAAAACTTGGATTTGAAATCCGTAGGAGAACGAACCCTACACAAAAATACATACACACACTGACAAACCTCCTCTGTACGCTCTCATCCCCCCTTTCCCACCCCCCACCTCCTCCGACCACCCCTCTGTAGTAGTAGTACAGGGTTTTACGGCACTCGCAACTGGCCACCACCCCTCTGACCGACCTTCTACATACATAAGCCACATACAGACTCACATACCTGAATGCTGGGTATAGTGAGAATCTCTGCCAAGGCCTCAACCGCATGCTCTTGGGTCACTTCATCCCTCGACAAAGCAAGCTTGGTCAGCACTTCCAGACTGGAGAAAAAATTTGCAGGAAAATTGTTAGTGAGGGACAGAGAAGGGAAAAAAATTTAGAAATAATATACATAATATAACAAATACTGGTGCTATTTGTACATGGAAAATAATGATGGATGTTGCTCTGACCCAACAGTGTCACTTGTTTCTTGAACATTTTTCTTTTTTTTCTTCTTCTTCTTCTTCTTCTTCTTCTTCTTCTTCTTTACCATTTAATAAAGTTATTATAAAGTTCATTTATACTGTTTCAGTCTGTTGTGGATGTAGCGGAGTCAGAAGAATGTAACTGATCTGCTCTTCTCAAGAGGTAATAAGGGTTAAGTTTTTAGAAGGTAGGGTGTGAGTTGTTTTTTAAACAGGCAGAAATAATTTAATGGCTATGGTAGTTTAAAAGGAACAATATAATAAATTTAAGTCGAACACATATTTTGATTTTTTAATAACGTACCGAAGTAAAGATTGATTATAAGAATGTTGCCAATTGTTAAGACTTTCTCATAACTTACAGTCCTTTGTGTTCTTTAAAAAAAAACCCCAAAAAAACCCAACTAATTGGGTGGCAAAAAGCTGAAATTTTGAAAGAGAAAGAAAACAAGGAAGATAAAGGACTTGGTACCATTCAAAAACTTATTTCACTAACTCCCTTTTATCAGAAAATTCAGTAGCTGTCAAGCTTTAAAAAAACCCAATTTTTGAGGAGCGAAAAAAAAAAAAGAATATAGGTCTCAAGCACAATCATACCCTCCTTCTGCCACAATTCTGAATTTGTTATCATCGGAGGAAGTGGCCATAGCAGCAAGGTCATAGGCAGCAGCTCTTTTTTCCTTCACCCTGCAAACAGAAACAGCTGAGCTGAACACTTGGAGAAAGGTAGGAAGTTTGCTTGATATGCGGTTAGTAATTATATAATATGCCTACGGAAGCCTTGTCATCAATGCTTTTTGACAGGGTCAATAATTCATACTCCTACTACAGGAATTTGCCTAACTGTATAAAGCCAGTGGTTGTTTTTCTCTGATTACAGTAAATTCAAGATATGCACGTGGAGGAAAAATGAGATTTCTACAAAAACAGAATCAAACAAGGTCGATTGAACATACATGAACCATCATGGTGAAATCACACACACAGACACTTATACATACAAACTCATTTTATCAACACATTTACGATAAATGGCCACTTACTTTCCAGATTTTGCCATCATCATCACTTGCTCAATTTCTCTCTCCTGAACCAGAAATCTTTCAATAAAATCTCCGACCTGTAACAAATAAAAATCAGTCTTAACAAAACAGTTTTCTCTCAGTTTTAACAAAAGGTGTTAATTTTTTTTACATCAAAACTTTAAACTATTCGCCATTTCATCCTTCTTTATGGTCAGATTGAGTACATTTTAAAGAAAATTATCTCCGAAGGCTGGTAAATATTCAACACAAAAAAGACATCACATAAAGACAAGATAAAGAGATAATACATCAATGATTTAGAGCGATATAATCAAATACTTGCAGCAAAGGCTACACATTTACTCACCTCAATCTTGAAGTTCCTGAGCAAAAACGCTCCCATGACAAATGTCAGAATCAGCAGCAGGAGATGGACTGTGAAGAAGGCAGCGCTGAAAATCTTTGTGTGAGAGCAGTACCCACGATAGGTCCAGTTAGAACAGTCTTCAGTCTAAAAACAACCAAAAATAATAAAAAGATTAAATTATGTCAATAATCTCTACCTTATTTTAAGATTCTAAAAAAAAAAAAGAATCGGGTGTTTTTCTGGTGAGAAATTCCCAGACTATTACACACTATAACAGATACAGTCTTCACATCTCAAGCGAACACACATAATAATATTTTAGAGAAATATTGTGCTATTATATTCAAGTGTACCCAAGTAACTTTTTCACTCCTCATCAACCAAAGTAATACTGATTGACATCTTCAGAACAAATAAAAAGAACTAATAATGATCATAATTGTTTCTCATTTTTTAGAAAGCATTAATTGAAATTAATATCAGAAGTAGGCTATGACATTTTTATTAGTTTCTTTTATAAAGATTTACTTTGGTTTTAGTAAAACACACCATCAAGGCATTTGAGATCTGCAGCTGAGAACTTGTAAGAGTGCCCACTGTAAGAACAAATAAGTTGTGTGAAAGAGTTTTTCTCTTCCAATATCCCCAAGTTTTGGAACTTTTTTCGCAACAGAAATGTGTTCTATGTATCAGAGAGAAAGCATTTAAGAAAGGTCATAAGACATATATATTTTATTCAACCTTGTTTTCTGCCAGATGTTTTTGTATGTGAGAGTGTATCTATGTGTGTGTGTGTGTGTGTATGTGTGTTGTGTGTGTGTGTGTGCTATGTGTTTGTGTGTGTGTGTGTGTGTGTGTGTGTGTGTGTGTGTGTGTGTGTGTGTGTGTGTGTGTGTGTGTGTGTGTGTGTATGTGTGTGTGTGTGTATGGTGTGCGTGTGTGCGTGTTATTGTTGCTAAATGGTGTCACAATGAATACATCAGCTATGAATCATAATTCAGCACCATGCAGTGCTTAGACCCTTCTAGAGATTTTGCGCTATATAAATTAACATTATTATTAACACAGATTTATGCAAGTATCGAGAAATGGAATAATTACTTACAGCCACAAAAATCCATCCAGAGACGCAGAAGTACATTGAGGGAACAAAGCAGAGCACAGAAGCAATGAGGACTCCAATGCAGAAGTGTATTTTCCTGAGGAAAAAAGCAAAGACTGTTTCAGATAAAATACCTTTCATGCCACAACCATCCACTATAATTGGGAGATCAAGAAGGACTTGAGAAAGACAAAATCCTGAATATGGTGCTTAGCAGTCTGGCCAGACTTTATAAACACTTTTCACCCATGCAGCGCGCAGAGAGCGCAACACTTATCCCCACGGACCAGGATACAGGTGCGGTACATGCTATATATTACACCGTCGCCAATCGGCGTCCTGTGGGGAAAAGGGACAGCTTCTTACCAGTGTGAGGGCATAGTGTTAAAGGCTAGTTACTGTACAGGTTCAACATTACTGTAAGGTCATTAGCAATTCAAACAGGGTACAAAGTTTGTTTAAACATTTCTAAACTATTGTTCTGATAACATCAGTTTGTAACATCTGTGAACATAAACATTTAATTACCTTTCCAATAATATATAGCTGCAAATACAATGTTAACTGCACCATCTGTAACAGACATTTTATTTCTATGCTCTCAAAATGATTTGTGTGGATGCAAATTAATTACATCATGAATAAGATAGCAGAAAAATAAACTTGAGTATGTAGAAAAACATATTGTACTAAAATTATGCACTTCAATCATGTCATAACACAATTTTTATTTAAAGGAAGCACAAATAAAAAGACAGCAAACAAAACTCACAAATGCGATGTGTTTCCAACGAATCCTCCGATTCGAGAGTATGTAGGTACAAACCACGCTCCCACAGCCCATAAGATAAACAGCCAGAATACGCTGTACCAGTGAACGGTCAGCATGCTCAGGAATGTGAACAGGAAATGCACATACAGCAAGGCCTGCATAAGAAGAGGAAAAAATGCTTGATTGCTGGACAACATAATATTGTATAGTCTAACACACATAGCAAGCACATGCATAGTGAAATATGCATATATAGCAAACAGTTTTTAGGTCCTTAATTTTTTCTTAAACATGTATATTGTATTTAATATATGTGCAAACAATATTCGTACATAACATACAGATTTCTGTGTCCTGCTGCATTCTCTATGTGTACGTGCTAGACTGTAGATAATTGTTGCAGCATAGCATAATTGTTTTTAAGCTTAGATAAATGTTTTTTGTGAAGGAGGCACATCAGTGAGACAGAGAGCTCCTGGGGAATTGGTAGAGAGAGAAAAACAAATGTGAAAAAGCAAATATGGAAGGGCTAGTCACAGTGCAGAGGTAGATGAAAACAGTGGGACATTTTGGTCAGATTTGGAGCAAAAATCTTCTTTCAAAATGAATAGGAACATTAAGCTGCTTATTGTGCTTCCTTTCCATTTCTATATAGAGAATGTTATGCTTACTTTGAAATCTGCAACCATGTGTTCCCTTCTATCAAATGTGTGTACTTCTGCTTCCAAAGCATGTTTCACATCTGCAGGCTGCCCATGGTTGTACCCATCAAAGTTAAAATCACTACTGGCAACAGAGCGAATCTCCATCAAGACCTGAAGAATAATCAGCAACACATACTACATTGTGAAAATGTGAAAATGTTCATATAAGTTCCTAAAGGTTCTAAATACTGGACAATGATTTCTGAACTTTCTTACAAAAGAACAAGTACTGGTAAAAGATTGAAGGTGAATAACTGGCGATCAAAAACAGCGTCAACACTTTTTGATTACTTGTGTATAAAATCTAGTCCTTAACTCTCTACGTTTTTTCCTTTCAAGTGACAAATATACAAAATTCTCTCAAAGGTAGGTTATGTTACAAAAACATTTTGCTGCTTCAGTTACTCTTCACAGCACCCACATGAACAGACAGTAACACTGTACCTCTGTCTCAGTAGGCTAATAGTTTTTCAGCTGATCTTGAATGTTTTTGTGACAGTAGAAACACTTAAATATTTGCAGATCATAATGATGGCTCAATTTCTCTGATGTTGAGTTAAATCTAACAACTTTCTTAGGTCAAAATGATCAAATTTCAATGTTGTTGCGGCTTTAGGTAATTTGTCCGGACCTTACCTTGATAAAAAGTTATATAAATTAAACTAGGGCGAAAAAAAGCAAATTTCCTATTTTTTCACATGGGGGCTGCAAATAATAATTGATGCACAAAATAACGTATTGAGCATTAACTCACTCACTACCAGCTATTTTCGGGGTCGCTATTCCCTGTGTACCAGCCATTTTAAGGGTAATTTTGTTTAAATCACCGTGCTTTTGCTAATTAACATAGAGACTTGAAATTTGGAACATAATTTTTTAACATAAGAAAGAGTGCCCTGATGAAATTACAGCTCCGCTTTATTGTTACTTTTTTTTTCCCACAAGAATTTCAAATATTGGTCAACAACTGCGTTCCCTTTGCCTTTCTTACTCACGCCCTTCTCCACTACTGCATTCTTTGTAAATTTCCCCACCTGGTTCATCATAACAAACCTTTGACCAATTCATCGGTTTCAGAGTCAATTTCGTCGTCAAAAGTTCAAAAACAGTCAAAGAAGCGACCTACCAATGTGGGAAATGTCTGTTCTCAGGGTGGTTGTCGTAAAAATCAATAATTCAACTTGTGCGTGTCCGATTTCGGTTTCGTTTCTTTCTAATGAAAGATAATTGAAGGGGCTACAAAAAAGACAAACCAGTACTGCAAACGGTGCAGTTTTAGCATAAGAAAAAAATTCCAGAGGGCGAACCGCGAGGGTTGCGGGTGTGGTATCACAGCGTCAAAGCTGATTTCCCCGCAACTGTTGCGGTTGTGGTAGTGTGTGAATTAACAGTACTCACAAGGACAGAAAAGCGTAAAGACTCAAAATGCTAAATTTTATACACAGTTTAAAAAATCGCAGGTGTATTATTACACTAGTTGCAATTTACATGACTAGTAAAATCTCATCCTAGAAAAGTTTTTCCAATACATTTTAATCTTAGCACATTCAGTGTCTGGGGGGCATGAGCAATAATAAAAGGTTTTAAAAAAATTTTACTTCATGTAGGCTACAAATGATCCGTTCCATACATAATGATAACAAATGTTAACTTAAAAATAAAATATGTCATTGCTTTCCATGCCACAGCCACAGGACAAACAATCGAAAAGTAAAATGTCCTTAACGTCGGTGGCCTAGTGGTTAGGCTCTCGGACTCGCAACCGTAAGGTCGTGGGTTCGAATCCCGTCAA